GACAACGAAAAGAGAAATTGATGTATGTAAGATATTGTGACGACATCGATGTGTCTGTTATATCGTATAATTCTTCTTCTTGTTATCCATTTCTTTCCTCTTCCTTTCTTCTTCTTATTCTTTCTCTCTGTCCTTCTCTCTCTTGGTTAGATATATAAACGTGTGTTCTGTATGTAAACGATGCGATTCTTGATAAGAAGAAATACAATAAAGCGTAGTTCCATCATCGCTAACTCTTCTTCTATCTAAAATCGTCACAGATATTACCTTAGAAAAAAAATCTATTACCGTAAAAAACTAACTCTTTCCACATTTCTTTTATGGTTCTTCTCAGATTGGTGATGTGTTATTAAATCGACACCAAAATTGGTCTATATTTGACATGTTAATAAAAAAACATGAAATCAATTCATTATTTTTATTTCAATAATAAATACCATGGAACTTTTTTCATTTTGTATAGAGCATATATTCATTGAAATATGTCATATCTATGCGGAAAATAAGCTAGATACTTCATGACCTACTAAAAGTTTTATTTTTCATGAGAAAAAAATATTTATAATAATTTTCTCCTTAAAATAGTGTTTAGTTGGTCAACATTGTAAGACATTGTTCGACACCATTCTAAGGTTTCTTTTTAACTTTTTTTACCATTTTGTAGAGGAGAAAAAGTTGTACAACATATGTGAAATTCAGCGTGGACACTTTTAAAATGACTAAATGACAGCTAATATACTAAAAAAATAGACATATTTTTCATTCAAAAAGTCGTCAACCTTAGACAGTATTTGAGAAATAACTTTCGATCAACACATTGAAGTATAATTTGTAAATAGCTGATTTTGTTCAGCTTTCGATGCTCTATCTTCTGGTATACTACACTAATAATTTCATTAATTTATTACTATTTAAAAAAACTCAACTTTTTAGGTACAATTTCTGACAATATTTTGTAAATAATCTTGTCAGTGGTAAAAAGTTGAATTGGGCTAACTTTTCACCAGCTCAACCAAATTAGCTAAAAATTTGGATTTAGAGGTTTTAGATGATGCTGAAGAAGATGAGAATATCAAATTGGAAAACTAAATTTTGACGAGTGCTTCGATATCTAGCACGATGCTCGATGGTCTCATGGATGCTCTCTTAATGTATCAATCGATAAATTTATTCGAGATTTCAAGCTGAGGAAAATAAATTTAAGATTGTTATTTGTTAATGTTTTTATCTTCTTCTTTATTCATCAATAAAGACAAAAAAACAAATGAAGATAGTCTTTATGATGATTATGGAGCTGGTGGCGGTGGAGCTGTTGGTTGACCTATTAGTGGAGCTGTTGTCGAACCACTTACTGTTGTTGATGATGTCGCAGCATTGAAATGGCAACTTAGAATTTGACATAGTGGTTGATAATGATCATTGGCTAATTATACCGACGCTATCGTATCGATATACTGGTGGATTTGTGCATGGTCAATTTGACTTTGACTGTATGATAGTGATTCTTCTTGTTGTGATGATGTTTCCTGTGGTGGTAGTGAAAGAGGTGTTGGTGACGACG